CCAATGCCGCCGCAGGCGTAGTCACTCGATTCCCTCCAGAGCCTTCAGGATACCTTCACATAGGGCACTCGAAAGCTGCTCTACTCAATGACTACTTTGCTCACATCCAGTATCCGGGTGGCAAATTGATCCTGAGGTTCGACGATACAAACATTGAGAAAGAGAACGTTGAATATCAAGATGCGATCCGCGAGGACGTCGCTCTTTTGGGCATCAAGCCTGACGTGATCTCTTACACAAGTGACTACTTTGACCAAATCGATGAGTACTGTGTGAAGATCATTACTGCTGGTAAGGCCTACGCAGACGACACCCCTGCCGACGTGATGAGCGCACAAAGAATGGCACGTGAGCCCAGTGTTCATAGAGACGACAGCGTCGAGGATAACCTGGCAAGGTACGAGGAGATGAAAAAGGGTTCCGAAGAGGGAAAGCGATGGTGTATTCGAGCAAAGATATCCCATGCCAACGACAATGCCTCTCTCCGAGATCCTGTGATTTTCCGGTGTCCAAAAAATCAGACCCACCACCACCGAACGGGCGATAAATATAAAGCCTATCCTACCTATCAATTTGCTTGCCCAATTGTGGATTCTATCGAGGGTGTTACTCACGCTCTGAGGACGACTGAATACAACGACCAAGATGCGCAGTACAAGTGGATTCTCAAGGCTATCGATCTGCGGTCTCCTTATATCTGGACTTTTTCCAAGATTCAGTTTGTGCGCACGCTCATGTCGAAGCGAAAGCTGACAAAGCTTGTGGACGCCGGTATCGTGTCGGGCTGGGACGACCCACGCCTCCCTACTGTAAGGGGTATCCGACGTCGCGGCATGACTGTTGAGGGTCTGCGGGATTTCATGGTCAGTCAGGGACCCAGCAAGAATGTGGTCAATATGGACTGGCATACCATCTGGACCATGAACAAGAAAGTTATTGATCAGACGAGTGCACGATATACCGCAATTGACGACAAACATGTTGTTTGCAAGGTCAAAGGTCTCCCACAAGATACACCATACTCGGAGATCAAGCCCAAACACGCCAAGTACGATCTCGGAGAAAAGAAAGTATGGTACAGCTCGAGCATCATCATCGAGCAAGAGGATGCCCGGACATTCGCTAAAGACGAAGAGATTACGCTCATGAACTGGGGAAACGTGTACGTTCGTGACATCCAGTATGAGAAAACCACCGACAAAGCAGACATTGCCGACGGCGTCAACGCACTGGGGAATGTCGCTTCCCTCGAGCTCGAACTCCACCTCGACGGCGACTTCAAAGCCACGAAGAAGAAGGTCACGTGGCTTTCCAAGGACCAAGACCTCTGTCCCGTCCAACTACAAGATTTCGACCATTTGCTGTCCAAGGACAAGCTGACAGAGGAGGAGGAAGCTCATTGGGAAGACTTTCTAACACCCAAGAGCGTCTTCACCTCTACGGCGTTGGCTGACTGCAATGTCTGGGATGTCAAGGAGAACGACGTCATTCAATTTGACCGCAAGGGCTACTTTAGATGTGACAAGGCTCCAACCAAGGAGTCGAAGGGGGTCTTTTTCAAGATACCAACAGGGAAGGAATAGAATAGAATAACAGGGCAAGAGGAAGAAAAAAGCTGGATACCCGTGGAAACCAGATGAACGAGCACGAGTGATGATTTCAATGATAGAGAGGGTCTTGTCATGAACCTAGCCAAACAGCTCGAGCCCTGCGGCAGAGAACGATTCTGTGGTCGCTTCCTGGGATGCTGTGGCGTCTTCTCGAGCCTGGTCATGCTAGATAGACTGGCGATCTTCTCCTCTTGCAATGCGCAATGAGCAATTCATCCATCATCGGAGATTGTGCTTGCTTGCCATGTTGTGACGAAGGATAAGAAGGACGAACCACAAAATACAAAAGAATCTGTTTTGGAAGCTCTATAGACTTTCTAGCGGCTCCTCATCTGGAACGTCTCTTCTCATTCACACCCGGTTCTCCGTGGTCTCTGTAGATGTTCTCTCTCCCTCTCCCTCTCCCTCTCTCCCTCGCTTGTGTGACTACGCTCCTCGGACTTTCTGCGTTGCTTACGCCGCACCAACCTAACAACCTAGTCGATCTTCCTGGCTGCTCGGTGTAAAGCTACAATGCATGACTGCGCAGGATGGGTGCGGAACTCAATAGGAGATAGGTGATATAGACCGAACCTCTGTCGACCTGGGGGAGGACTCTACAACCACGCACTCCTCTCCCCGACTTTCATGCCTTCGGGCTCCCTGCCCATCCCACTCCTTCCGACGAGCACCTCACCTTTCCCCCTCTTCAAGAACATCCCGTCGCTCGGGTTTCCCAAGACGCCCGCGCCGGGCCCCTGAGCGACCTCGACGTCGCGGTTCCACTTGACCTGGCCTCTCAAGAGGACGTACCTGGGCCAGTTGGACACGCGAAATCCTTCAAAGGGAGTGTAGTCGATGCTGTGGTGCAGCATTTCGTTTGCGATTTTGATTTTTCCATCGGATGCAGTTGTTGTGGTGGTGGTGGTAGAGTGGTGCGGGGGATACCAGATGACCAAGTCGGCGTCGTAGCCTGGGGCGATACTGCCCTTTCGGCCGGAGAGGCCGTACATCTTGGCTGGGTTGGTCGAGGTGAGTTCCACAAACTTGGGCAGTGTCAGTCTCCTGGTCGGTGGGATGGATGGGTCCGGGTCCGTCGCGGCGGAGAAGAGGATGGGGAGACGGGTCTCGATTCCAGGAAGGCCGTTAGGGATCTGGGCGAACGCGGGCGTCGAGTTCGTCTTTTGCGCTTCGACCAGTGGCTTTCGCTTTCCCGCGGGATGGTGGTATTGGCTGGGAGCATGGTCGGAGGATATCACCGTGATGGTCCCGTTGTTCACGCTGTCCCAGACGCTCTGCAGGTCGGAGTCGGCGTGGCGCAGGGGAGGCGCGCAGACGTGTCGTGCGCCTGCCCATTCGTCGTCTTCGACATCCCCATGGTCATGACTGTGAACACCGTTGGCTTCGTCGATGACGGGGAATTTGGTCGTCGCTAGCCTATCCGACAGCAGATACATATAATGCGGACACGTCTCGGCGTGGATCGGCAGCATTGACTTTGATTGTGCTTTCCGTGCATGGGACAGTGCGGCAGGGCTAGACATGTGGACGATGAGGATTGGCGTGGATGTGAGGGTGGAAAGCGAGATGGCGCGATAAGTGGCTTCCGACTCCGCTATCTGGGGGCGCGCAAGGGCGTGGTATTTGGGCAGAGTATGGGAGTTTTGGAGTAGACGGGTGGTTATCCTATCGCAGCTGTCAGTGATTCATATTCAGGGTCTGTTGCCGGTCCTGAGCCGGGAAGGCATGCCTGGTAAGGTACGAGCTTTGGAATGGAGGTGATGGCAAGGTTGTGCTGGGCAGAACCAAAAGAGAATAGAACATACATATCAATCATATCGGCATTCTCAGCATGCACCATGACCGTCATTCCCACTTCTCTGCACCGCATCATCACCTCGAGCATGTCTTTATCCCCCAATTTGAACGCTGGATAGGTCATGTACAACTTGACGCTCGTGATGCCTTCTTCGTCGACCAGTCTTTTCAACTCTCCCTCATTCCCGGGATCGGGCTCGCCGTCGACTTTTGCTTTGACCGCCCGGCCTAAGATTTCGGGACTTGGCCTAGTGAGGATCAAATGGAACCCGTAATCCACATAACTCTGGCCTCTTGCACGAGTATGGTACTCTTCCAGCACGGGAAACAAACTCTCGTCCGTCCGCTGTTGAGTCGCAAACGCGAGGATCGTCGTATTTCCACCACACAGCGCCGAGCGAGATCCTGAGAGCCATTTGTCGCCAGTTGGGGCATTATCTTGGTGTAGATGCACGTGGGAGTCAACGCCCCCAGGGGTCACGTACGCGCCCTCTGCGTCGATGATCTGAGTGTTTGTATCCGCAGGAAGAGAAAAGGCAATGGCGACGATCTGGCCGGATTTGATTCCGATGCTGAGACCCGGTTGGAGGATTTCGGTGGCTGTGACCTTTGGTATTGAAAAAAGGGGGTCTTCAGCCTTGCATGGAGCTGGGATGGGAATAGACCTAGGTCACAAGGATTAAACTCACGATGGTGGCATTTTGGATGATGAGGTCAAGATCCATGGTTTTAAACCTCAGCGAGGCTGGTTAGGTATGTAAGGTCTGGCCGTGGCCTTCTTTGCTACAGACCAGGCCAAAATCTCCTCTCAATCTGATTTTCCACGAGGCGGGGTTTCTGGCGTCTCGGGCGAGGACAAAGAAGCTCAAAGGGCTCCTGGTAATCCTTCAGTAGTCAATGCCAACAGTGCTTGAGAGTACAATGACTATATCTGTGCAGGTTGCCGTTAAGTTTGGGCTTCTGAACATTGGTATGGTCATAGATCGCAATAGGGACATGAACTCGATCGATAGCTAGCGGATAAGTCCGATATGTGGTGGTGTTTTCCGGTCGAACAAAGATCTCCCGGCGGAGATGTTGGGGTTTGTGTGCGGTACACTTCTGTATCCCGCATCATGTAGAGGAGCTTCAGGTTAGTGGAAGGGGACGAAGGGTAGAACGGGAGACTATGCTCATGGCTGGGGATATTGGCCCTCTGGATCTTTCTGTCTCGCGTCATTTGATGTTGAGAATTGGATAAGAGACATTATATTGGCTCCCACAAGGTCCAAGTCCATCAGTTTGAAGCAGCCAAATATGCCATATCAAAAAGTTCACTGTAGTCTCTAGTGTATAGCCTTGTTTGACTTTGAGAAAAAGTGTTGATGTGCCATTTGTTGTCATGTCCGCCCGCCTTATGTCAGCAGCCTCGGATGCTTGGATGATGCAATTGGAGATTTTTCTTCTTCTTTGGAGCTCCTCACACTTACAACCGTCTCGCTGCTCTTTGGTTGGGGAATTTTCACAGTTCAATCTAGACACATCCGCTCCCCTTGGAAGACCCGTCGCCCTTTCCTCCATTCTCGCGCTCTCCAGCAGTGCATTGTTGTAGCCATGTCTAACGCTCTGAGGACGTCAGTGCGACGCTTCGCTACCACAGCCGCTCGTGCGGCAACTGCCGAGTCGGTCAATGCTTATGGGATCCGTCTCTCCAAAGCTCAAGGGGTGGTCGACACTCTCACCGGAGGTATTCCTCACAGACCCCTTTCAAGCCATGGATCCCAGTACTCACCAGAATCTAGCCATCGGCAACACTCCTTTGATAAGATTACAGAAGCTCTCCGCCGAAACCGGCTGCAACATCCTTGGTAAAGCCGAGTTCCAAAACCCCGGCGGCAGTGTCAAGGACCGCGCGGCTTTATATGTTGTCAAAGATGCAGAAGAGCGAGGTCTGCTGAAGCCTGGGGGCACCGTTGTCGAAGGGACTGCCGGCAACACTGGTATTGGTCTGGCACACGTCTGCCGAGCAAGGGGATACAAACTGGTCATCTACATGCCGAACACCCAGTCACAAGGCAAGATCGACCTTCTGAGACTGCTGGGCGCCGAAGTATATCCTGTTCCAGCTGTCGCATGGGAGAACCCAGAAAACTACAATTGGCAAGCAAAACGACATGCAGAGAGGCTGCTCAAGGAAGATCCCGAACACGGTGCTGTATGGACCAATCAATTCGACAATACTGCTAATCGTCTGGCACACATTGTCACGACAGGGCCAGAAATTTGGGCCCAGACCGACGGCAAGATTGACGCATTCACCTGTGCGACTGGAACTGGTGGCACGCTTGCTGGTGTGACTCGATACCTCAAGGACGTCAGCAATAATTCCGTCAAATGCTTTCTGGCAGATCCTCCCGGTTCCGTCCTCTATTCGTACATCACTTCTGGTGGCCAGCTCAAAGAAAGAACGGGCAGCAGCATCACTGAGGGGATTGGCCAAGGTCGTGTGACGGACAACCTGAAGCAGGAAGTCAATGAGCTTGACGGAGCGCTAAATATCTCCGACGAGAAGACTATTGCCATGGTATACCGCTGCTTGGATGAAGAAGGTCTATATCTTGGAGCCAGCAGCGCGCTTAACGTTGTCGCTGCGAAAGAGGTCGCGGAAAAGCTGGGACCCAATCATACGGTTGTGACTGTCTTGTGCGACGGGGCATATCGATATGCGGATCGGCTCTTTAGCGACAAGTGGCTCAAAAGCAAGAATCTGAGAGAAGCGATACCCCAACATTTGCAGAAATACGTGGTATTGCCATAGTATAGTCGGACACAACATTCAGGCAAGTCCGAACTATTTGGCGGCGAACGCCCCTCGTCATCATCTACTCGAGAATGACTGTCACGGACCACAATGATATTCTATGAATGGTCGCCATGTCTATCGAGCCAACGACAAACGAAGCCTGGTATCAGACTATTCGGTCGTGGCCTTTCCACTGCTGAACTCCTTCCGATTTCGAGAGACACTCCCAAGGATCCGAGTTCGAACGCGATAAGCCTTTGACCGTCAGGTCTTTGAAGTTCTCGATGCTCGACCTACTTTTACTGGTGCGATGACGATTCTTCCGAAGGATGCACTCTGCAAAGACGCCAGTACACTCGATCATCCAGATATCATCCATGCCGATCGGGAGATGGTGACGGTTGAAGTCGTTGATACATACTCTTCGACGGAGTATTCACCACAGCCGGCGTCATTAAACTCGGAGATACAGCCCCCGTTGCAGGTGGAGCTGTTTGAGAATGTCAGGTTAGCCAATTACCTCCAGACTCAAGAAAAGTCGTGGTGGGGAGTTGAGTATGCGCCTTAGCAGCAACTTTGATCGACAAACCGGGTTGATGGGCAGGATGCTTGTTGGGTGAGATTGTGCGGCGCCAGAAGTCGAGCAGCGTTTGCGATGGACAGGCTTGCCGTTGATGGCGGCATGGTGACAGCGAAGCTCCCGTTGAGAAGCACCCAGGGACCAGCACGACAAGGCTGTCGACCACGGATATTTCTGACAGCGAGGGGATGACGGGCTCCTTGGTGGTTTGTAGTCGTACTATGGATGAAGCCCGACGAACATAACCACGAAGTTTTGACCATCTCTCTCCCTCTCTTCCTATCATCATTCCGTTCTCCCTTAGTATCCATCACATTTACGACATTTACGATTTTACGAGGTTTAAGTACCTACTGTATGCAGTTCCCATCTCCCTCAACTCCCTTCTATCTATGTAGGCACCGACGGAACCCAACACAAACCCCCCAAGCCAAATCCGGCCCAAAAAAAGAAAAGAGGAGGAAGGAAATCCACATGCAAACGCACATCACGAAACTCAATATACCTCGTACCTAGGTATTAGGTACAAGGTACTCAACCCAACCAAAATCCCACATGCCGGGTACCAAAGTACCAAGTACCACCTAGCCATACCAGTCCCAAGTCCCAAGTCCAAACCCCCTCGCCGAAGATCGGGACGCAAAAAGAAAAAAACAAACCCAACACAAAAGCAAAAGCAAAAAAGCACCGGTCGGCGGTTTTGAGGTTGGCGGTTAACGACGGACAAAGAAATGTCTGGGCGGGAAAAGGGAGTGGATTCCCAAGAAATCAGTCCTTATGACTTTATCAGGTATTTTACATGCGTTCCCGGCCCGAGGTTTCGTCGTCGTCGTTTTTGTTGTTTGGCGATATCGGTCTACACTCTGCACTAAAGACATACATGTACAAGGGTAGAGATTTCTGCCAAAAAAAAGACGCTTTTGTATTCGTCGTGTCCCCTGTGCAAGATGGTCTGTTCATTCTGTGGAACGTCGAGTACGAGGGTACTCGTTATAGAATAAGCGAACCTCGAGCGCATCCATAGTCCATAGGTCCCCATCTCCCGTTGTTGCCCGAGGACCACTTGATAAAACCACCGTCTATGTTCAATCCCCTTGATTGACATCTCACAGACTAGCTAATGCTGTGACATGTCCAGGCAATCAAAAGCAAACAAAACAATAAGAGCAAGAGGTAACCCAAAACCGGCTAAGATTTTTATGTCGTTCAGGGTAGAAGAGAAACGCCAGCACACGCCAAACTAGAATCAGTCACCATTCATCTGCATAGGGCAAACGAATGCGTGCAGAAGGTCCCAGAGAAGGGCGTTGATGCCTCCCAAAGACATTACGTGCCCGTCCTCATCCCCGCTCAACTTGAGGGATCCATTCAAGCTGCTGCAACTGGATCCCTCACCCAGAATAGTGGCGTGTCGCCTAGTGCTTCGCGGTGACCGCCTCGCCGGTGAGTTTCTCGACGGCTTCTTTGGCACTGTCCAGAGGTTAGCATATCAGTCCAGAATGATAGCAGTAGGGGACCAGCGTACATATCACCCAGGGCAACCATGCAGATTGTCTGCCAGATACCCAGTCCGATACGGGGAGTGACACCACGGTAGAGACCTTTCAAACCGTTGGTGCTGTAGATGTAGTTCAACGTCTTCCCGACGGTCAAGTTCTTTGGTCGATTAGGATCATTGGACTTGCTTTGCATCTCGACTCGGATGACTTCAATGGGCTGGTTCCAGGCAGACAGACCACCACCAAGACCACTGGCCAAAATCTTCTCTCCCGCATTCAACTTCTCTCCGTTCTCCTTACCCGTGAATCTCCGGATACCTGACTCGGCGAGTCTGGAAAGACCGAAACGGGAGCCCCAGTTGGTGACTTGACGAATGGCGACTGCGTTCACACCCTTGTTGATCCCTCGGATGCCCTCTTTCTTGTAGATGTTTGCGAAAGTCGTGAACGTAGAGGGGGGCTTTACACCCTGTGCGGCCAGTTTGTGCTGGGTGATTTCCACGGTTTTCATACATGTGCAGAAACCCATGGTTGCATAGGCTTGGGCCATGCCACCGACCATACCACCCGTGATCCCGGCGAGGAAGTTGTTGGCCCCAAAGGTCTTTGCGTAGTATTCAGCCTCGGAGGCGACGAAGAGCAAGACAGCACCCTTGGTAGAGGCTTCGATCCAGGCCCACGGGATGAGACCTTGGTAGACTATGCATTTCGAGAGATCAAATCAGCCGAGGTCTTCTCCAGGGTAGAGTTGGGTGCTTTGTGCCTTACATCCAAAAACACCACCACGTCCCCATATCCGCGACATAGCTCCAGCGAACGTGTCAGTTCGGTGGGCGGCCATGGTGGTCTTGACAACCTCCAGAGGCTGTCCCAGTGTAGTGACCTCGAACATATTGAGACCAGCGCCAAGTAGAAGGTTGCTGAACTTGACGGGCTTCTTTTCAATCTTGGGCGCTGCAGGCGCAGGTGCCAGAACTGCTTCTGCGGACATTGTTGGCGGATGTGCGAGATTGTCTACCCTGACCAAGGGGTGAGGTCGGCTTCGTCGCCTTGAGGGTTAATGAGAGGGAGGGAGGTACTGCTGGGCGACAGGGGGATTGCCTCGGTGTGAATGATGCAAAGATACAGACACGAAATGGCTATTGCGGTACGTATGCTCGTTGTCCGGAGTATAAGAGACAACAAAAAAAGCAGCGGAGCTTAAGAAAGACACAAGAGTACGAGTAGGAATTGGTCTGACAGTGATCGCAGTCACCACAAGTCCGAGATGGTTTTGTTCAGCTCCCTCGGCGAAGAAGGACGAGTTGACCATCCCGTAGAATATCGGCGCAGGCGCCTCGACCAAACCCCCATTCGGGCCAAAAGCAGATTAGTGGCTTAGGCGTTCGGCGTGTTGAGCGGACACATGTCTCTTAGCTGAGGTGGCCGGAGCCTCCATTTCACCCCCAAGCTCCATCCTTCCAGGCATCGCCCCTAGACTTCGGACGCCGCCTCCCTAAAATGTGGGTCTGCCGGCCTCCTTTAGCCTCCTAGGGCCACCCAACGCCGCCAACGCGCTTCTCAACCATCCGAAAATAAAAATTTCAGGAAATTTTACGTCGCACGGTCCACGCAACGATGTCTCGCAAAGACACCGCGGCCCCCATGGCTCCTTAACACTGGGCTCTACGAAAGAGTGTACGGCATCTGGGCACGCAGAATACTTGTGGCGGATTGGCAGGCGATGGGCACAAAGTAAAATATGGTATTCGCATCCAACAACGCTCGTCAATTAAATAATGGCGTAATTGAACGGCGGAACAGATTCACCCTAGACCAGACCCCGACCTCGCTTTGTCCTATCCCCTTGTCCCGTTTAGACGTACAAGTATGTTTTGCATTGTACAACCCCCGCTCTTCATGTCCAGATCACAATGAAGCACCCACGAGTTTGGCATAGGCTTCGGTGCTGAAGGACTTGGGGCGCTCGATGGGTGCACCGAGAGCACGATCGATGATAAGTTGCGGCAGGACACCCAGGGCGCGCGAGACACCGAAGAGGACAGTGTAATAGTTGGCTTCGGTCAATCCGTAGTATTGCAAGAGGACGCCGGAGTGCTAGTTCACATGTTAGCGCAGTCGAAAATTGGCTCCAATGATCAACTTACAGCATCAACGTTGGGGTATGGGTTCTTGGTCTTTCCGTGCTTTGTCAAAACACCAGGGGCGATCTTGTAGACCTGGCTGACCAGCTTGAACATGGGGTCATTGGGGAGCTTGCGAAGAGCGAACTCGCGTTGAGACACGTAGCGGGGATCCGTCTTGCGGAGGACGGCATGGCCATAGCCAGGAACGACACGACCACCGTTCAGGGTCTCCCACAGGTAGTCGGTGATCTTTTGGTCGCTGAGATCATCGCCAATGCTCTCCTTCATCTTAGTGAGCCAGTTCAAGACTTCTTGGTTGGCCAGACCGTGGAGAGGACCGGCCAAACCGTTGAGACCAGCAGCAAGGGAGAGCATAGGAGAGCTCAAAGCGCTTCCGACCAAATGAGTGGTGTGTGCGCTGACGTTGCCACCCTCATGGTCAGAGTGAATGGTGAGATAGAGACGCATAAGCTCAACGAAGTCAGCGTTGTCGCCGTAGCCAAGCTGGTTGGCCAAGTTGAAGCCATAGTCCTTGTCTTTCTGGATAGGGGCCACCTTGCCATCCTTGTATGCGTTACGGTAGATCTTCGCAGCAATCGTGGGCAGCTTGGCAATGAGGTTCATCGAGTCCTCGAAAGTGTATGACCAGTAGTCCTTCTTATTGATGCCCTTGGCGTAGGCTTTGGCGAACTCCGAGGTGTGCTCGAGCGCAACAACGGCAATCGAAAACTGAGCCATTGGGTGCATGTCGCTGGGACAACGATCGATGAGTTCCTCGACGAACTTGGGAAGATCAGATCGAGCTGCCCAGTCGGCAGACAGCTCTCGGACCTGCTGCTCGCTGGGAACCTCGCCGGTCAGAAGAAGCCAGAACAGCCCTTCGGGCAGAGGCTCCTCGCCTCCAGGAGCCTTGGGGAGCACTTCCTGGCATTCGGGGATAGTCCTTCCACGGAATCTGATACCCTCTTCTGAGTCAAGCACGGAACCCTCCCAGACTAGAGACTTGATGCCTCGAGCACCACCGTAGACTTGGTCCAGTGTAACTTCGCCAATGACCTTTGAGCCATAGTCCTTTCTCAGTTTCTTGACTTTCTCAATCTCGCCAGGGAGTTTAGCAGCGAAGACCTCTTTTAGGGACTAAAGGGAGAGAGGTGTTAGTCAGGGAGCTCTCAACAAAGTCAGTTCGAATAGCTCACTTGGGTGCTTGCGCAGCGCACGCCATTGAAGGCGGCTTTCTGGACCAAAGGTCTGGTTGATGAACGGAGCAAAGAGCTCCCTAGGCGAAGAGAGGAGGCCATGATAGTAACAACACGAGGTAGTCGAAGCAAAAGAAGGTCAAGAAGAATGCTACGTCAAGGGAGCTTTATGAAGGAGTGCGGGAAAAAAAAAAGGTGCAGGTGCAGATAGGAAAGTTAGGGAGGAGAAAGCTGTCCCTGTTGAATTATTGAATGATGAAAATGGCCCACTTGGGGGCCGCTTAACGAGCAAGGCTTCGGCGTGCCGGATGACCTCTCCTTCAATAAGGCCAGGGTTTGCCAATTGGGGTTCAATAGCCAGCCAACAGCGGCACGGGCGGGCCTCAGCAAGCCCTACTAGGGATGCCAACTTCGCAGTCCGAAGAAGATTGGACGCCCCAATGCCCCGTACGCCTTCAATCTTTGATCACGTGAAAAGCTGGCAACAATATTATTCCGGCCGGCTAGTTTGGCTGCTTTGGCTGTTTCTCAAGCCTCCGCTTTTCTATCTGCGACGCCTTTTCAACTCGTGCTCAAATCTTCACTTCATCTCATCACCATCTCATCACTTAGGCATCACCAACCGACGCACCATCCATCGCGTTTGACTTCCTTTTCTTCGCCTTCATCACGCACATAGTCTCATCAGCTCGTAAAGTGCTTCTCTACCAGTATTCTTCTCTGCACACGGCCGCTAGTTCCTCAATACTGCCGCTGCCAGGCCGCAGTTGCCACCTCGCTGTAGAAGTCTTGTGGGCGCAATCTACACTTAGCAGGGAAAAGGAAGAATTTGGGGGGAAAAGACTACACTCTTGCACCGCACATCATCCTTCACTTCACCTGTACCTCGAGTCTGTAAGACGTCTTTGTCGATCGAAGACTCCGTATGCGCTGATCGACTCAACATCGCCCCTTTCGCCGTCTTCCACCTTGCCAGGGTCAGTTTCCTCCTTCAACACCTTGTGTCATCACCTGCTGTAGGAGAGCTCGGCGCTCCATCATGTCGTCCGCAGTAGCGGAGCTGGACTCGATCCTGCAGTCCATGCTCAACCTCAAGCCACCAGGAGTTTCAGGCTCAAAGATCACTGCCATCACCACACTCTGTACAGCAAACATCCAAGTATGTCGATTTTTCAGCTTTGTGCGTCGCGCCTCCTGTAACTGACGTGACTTCTTCTAGTCCGAATCAGTCCTTATTCAAAAGATCTATACCCATTTCAAGAAGACACCAGGAACACACAAATTGGGGGTTCTCTACGTGATAGATTCAGTGACGAGACAATGGGTAGATCAAGCCAGAAAATCAGGTCAACAGCTGGGTAGCGGAGCTCCTGATGGAACCTTTGCCGCTGGTGTGACTCGAGTGACTGAATTGCTCCCCGTACTCATGAACGACATTATTGCTACCGCTCCAGAAGACCAGAAGGTATGCCATTCTATATCTGTCGTATTCCTCTTAAAACTATTTTGAAGTTCGACACGCACTCCACGCGACCAGACTACCCGTACACCACCACCTAAGTCTTATTTGTTGTTTGCCTGGCTGCTTTGATCGAGACTCACGTGTGACCACCTCTGTTTAGGTCAAAATCAGAAAGCTCTTAGAAATTTGGGAGCGGTCGAACACGTTTCCAACTCCGTTGCTTGCTTCACTCAAAGAAAAGCTTGATGCGCCTAAAGGTATATTCAAAATTCTGTCTCTCCCTCACCCGAAACGGATCAAACCTAACTGTAACGCAGCCTCAACCACACCTGAAGGATCACCGGCACCCGGTTTCGTGCCACTTGGTCAGTCGATTATCACTGACAATATGGCAGCAAAACCTCCCCAGCAGCAGGACACGTCAGCTATCCTGGAAGCGCTCAAGAATATGGCAAAGCAGAACACTACCGCGCCACCAGCCATTCCGGCACCCGCCCAAACTAGTTTGAATAATCTGTTAGGCGCGCAGAATGGGATCCCTCTGACGAACAGTACCGTAAACCCCGGTCTTGCTCCCGTCGCCGCCAATGGGTCGGCTGTAAACCAGCTTGGAGCTCTGTTCGCTGGATTGAGTAATGGTGCGCAAAGTCAAAGTCCTGCAAATGTACCTGCAAATCCACTTGCTGCGTTTCTTCCGCAACAAGCTCCTGCTCCCACGGTGCCACAAAACCCTGCTCCTCTAGGTCAAGATACTCAGGCTCAAGCACAAGTTCAACTGCAACTCTTGCAGCTGTTGGCTAGTCAAGGTGTTCCTCCAGACCAATGGGCGACCGCTCTACAATTGTTGAACATGCAGGCCGCAGGAGGCGGTGGTGCTGGTAGTGGTGGTGGCGCTGCGAGTGCCAGTGGCCTTCCGTTTCCGCCTCCTGTACCAGCAAACAATTGGGCAGGCCAGGTTCAAGCAACTGGGTCGTCACGTGATGCTCAAACCCGTTCCCCTCCTGGTCAATATCGACGTCGCTCACGCTCTCCTGGCTATGATAGACGCCGAGATCTGTCTCCAAGACGTCGCCGAGATAGTCCGGGGGCTGATGGATATCGTAATGATCGCGATGGCAGGCGAGCTGATTACCGTCAGCGCAGCCCAATGGGTAGAAGACGCCGAAGCACCACACCGCCCAGTGACTACAAGCTTCCACCACCAGGCCCCAAGAACGTACAATGGGATCCGACTCTGCCCAAAGGCCACATCAAAGTCTTCAGTCGGACACTCTTCGTGGGCGGAGTCACCTCGTCCGAAGCACACTTGAGGGGCCTGTTCAGTAAATTCGGGGTGGTTCAGACCTGCATTGTCAATATCGATAAACGCCATGCTTTCATCAAAATGATTAATCGCCGCGATGCCGAAAGTGCCCGTGATGGAATGGAAGAGTACAAGGTGGGCGACATGCAACTCCGCGTAAGTGACCTACGTATTGGCAGCGAATTGAAAAGGAAGATAAGAACCGAACTGACGTTTGCCCTGCAGACCAAATGGGGAGTGGGATTTGGACCACGTGACTGCAGTGACTATCAAACCGGAATTAGTGTCATTCCGATTGAACGCCTCACGGATGCAGACCGCAAGTGGCTGCTCACCGCCGAATACGGGGGCACTGGCGGTGCGCCGATCCAAGAAGGCATGGTCGTGGAAGAGCCTGACATTGAAATTGGTGCAGGGGTTTCCTCCAAAGGTATGACTACTCCCTGCTCACCTGGTGGACATATTCTAACTATAATGTAGCCATGAGTCGACGTATTGCTACTGATCAGGGCGGACGACGCGGCCCTCAATCTTCTCGCCAGCATCCGGGACGTGACGACAACAGATACAGAGACAATGATCGCCGCATGGACCGGGATGATCGCCAAGGCGCAGGCAACCCCAATAACATTGGTGTTATGCCGTCAATGCCTTTCCCTATGAATTTTGGCAACATGTCCAACGGAATGCCCGGCTTCCCGCCTGGATTCCAGATGTCCGCATTCCAGCCGCAAGGCAAGCAGGACTAAAAGGCACACGGCCACTCGATTTGACCGGCAGATCGAAACTGCACACAGGCAGAAATGGCGTTATTGTCGTTACCGGTACCAAGTGTTGATGGCCAGGCATGATACCCAATCGATATGTATGAATCAAGCATATTCAGGAGTTGGTCACCAGCACAGAACACCCCAAAATTGGAGGCGGTTGTGATGGAAGCAAATTTCTTTATTCAACTTTTACCCTGCATTGGAAGTGCAGGCTCTCGTAAGGTCGTTCTCGTCTGCTAGCATTGAGGCCTTGTCAGTTCGATTGGGAACACAGGATTGAGATTTGACAAGGGCAGATTCGGGAACGACGACGTATGTATGGATAATCAAAGGATGCGTTTTTACAAGGTGACAGGCTTGGTGTTGCTCACCGACACCTATTGACCCTGGTGGGATTGGTTACCACTTGGTTACCAGTCTCAACGTTTTCTCGTTCCCACGTGCTTCGACACGTGGATGGGCTTTTGAGATGATATTCTGTAGAAAGTAGAGAGATCCATCTGACATCGCACCAATCGCCCCTCTCTGTGATTTTTCTTGTCTTGTTAGGCTATGGGTCCCCTTTTTCTTGTCCTTATCATCAGACAACCAAGCCCCCCACAGACAAGGCTTCCGCGCCCGACACCGCCTCAGTCACCCGACGTTTCTGTGTCTTGGAAGGAACATTGCCAAGTCTAGATAATGGCAAGTCTGACTTGGGATGGCGTGAGCGATTGGTTCTGGGGCTCAAATAGGGCTTGGTTCCGCTCAATCAGCGTATAAGAGGAATAGAGGGATAGGCGTCACCACCCGTTGTGGAAGGGATTGGCCCAAGATTGCGGGGGTGAACGTCGGAGTCCTGATCCTTTCGCCTCTGAGATTCACTCATTCTTCTCTTACCACTTTGTTTCTTTGACTTTGGGCTCATGGCACTTTCCCCAATATTCTTACAACCTGTACAGAGTCATCATTGTGTCCTTCCTTTGAAGCTCGTGCAACCTGAAATTGAGGGCTGCGACCACGGTGCTACGCTTTCCTCACCTCAAGAACCCTCACTTGACTGCCTTTCCGCGACTCTTTCTTCTGGCGCCCACCTCCTTACGCCGTATTCATCTCACCCCCAATGGAGTCGATATAGCCCACACCGTTAACCTCTTCCTATTTACTCAACATGGTAGACACTTCTTCAGACGTTAGTTCCTCGGGCTCGACCCATTCCTCGCCCGATAAACCTCACCCTCTCCATGTCACCGTGAACGATGTTGTTCCAGACGAGAAACCCGACGTCATGTTCACCCCACGAAAGGCTTCGAGATTGGAAAAGGACGATGACGATGAGGAGGAAGATCTGGATGCGCTTATTGAAGAGTTGGAATCACTCGACCCAGATGCTGATATTGAAGCCGACATCGAGACAGCAGCGGGTGCGCGAAATGTGCCCGAGGAAATGCTCCAGACCGATACGCGGGTGGGATTGATCGAGCCCGAAGTAGTAGCCAGGCGAAAGAAATTCGGGCTAAACCAAATGAAAGAAGAGAAAGAGAATTTGCTGCTGAAGTTCCTGGGATACTTTGTTGGTCCCATTCAA